AGACCCTTCCTATGTATTTCTCCGAACTGGTGCACTCTTTGCAGATCTCATGGTGAGGATTGTTATCACTTATTTTATCTTGTAGTACCACTGCAGAGCTCTGGGTTTGGCTTCTATCATTGTTTGGGTGTAGATGGGATATGCCAACAGAAGTAAGTACAATCTTCAACCCTTCTATGTTCTATTGGCCCCATAAAAGAGGAAGGGAAATGTGGAGGTGTGCATGAGCAGCCTTGTTATGGACAGTTTGGAAGGAAAGGAATGTCAGAATCTTACAGGAAAAGAGGAGAAGCAGTCATGCCTTGAAGGACTGCATTTTGTATAGGGAAATACATTGGTTAAAGACTCTAGATTTGTTTGATCATTTCTCCTTTACTGGCTGTTGGAGGGATTGGTTATCAGTAGCAAGTTGTTCCTCCTCAAAGATAAAGGTAATGACAAGCTGGGTCCCCCCTCCTCACAGTTTTTTGAAGCTGAATTTTGATGGAAGTAGCTAGGGCAACCCGGGTCCCTCTGGTTTGGGAGATGTACTGAAGAATGAGGCTGGACCGCTGGAGAGGCTGTCTTACTATACTCTGGCACTTTAGGTGTTGGTAACTCTATTCGGGCAGAGTTGTTAGCTGCAATACAAGGAATAATTCTTGCAAAAGAAATGGGTGTGGAGCAGCTTCTGGTTGAAGGGGACTCTAAGACAGTGGTGAACTGGTTAAATAATCCAGAGAATGTCACGTGAGACTACAAGAATGAGATAAAGAAATTCAAATGGCTGACAAGGAATATGTCTTTTACAGTACAGTGGGTTGGGAGATCAGCTAATGCATTTGCTGATGTCTTGGCAAAACAAGGGACAAACAGGGAAACATTGTTCTGGGCGCAACTGTAATTTGTGTCTTTTTTAACAGTCATGCACTTTTTGATGTAGTTTTTGTGTTTTCTGTATGGAGAGGCAGCACCTCACGCCTCTTTATGGGGATTTTCATGTAACCGATCTTTGAATTAATGGAATATGACTCTTTATTCATCAAAAAAAAAAAATCTGTTCTTGAAAGCATTGTTTACTGTTAACCAGGAAAACATTTTTCCCATAACTTTCTGAAATACTGTATCTGAGGAGCTTCGTTGGTTCTTGAAAAACCTTGCATTCCTCTCCAACTCTTCACAAAATCTGCTACTGATTCAGGGCAGCAACTGTTCACCTCATATAACTTTTTGACTTTATTCCAGACCTCACAGGAGAAAACACAGTGGAGTAGCAGATGGTTTACTGACTCAGTATGGTTCTGACAAAGCACACAGACAGTTGTGTCTAACAGCAGACCCTTCTTTTCCAGATTATCCCTAGTTAAAATCCTGTTCAAGTAGGCTGTCCATACAAAAATTGCCACCTTTGTGGGCACACCCTTACACCATATAGAATTAACTGGGATTGGCTCATCCTCTGATCTGGAAAAATAGTTGTGAAAGGGCCTAACTGAGAATTCCCCCGACTTCTCCCACTTCCAAACTCTTCTATCCTCTCTCCCTAATTCCACTGGGGTGCTATACAGCAAATGCAGCAATTCCACTTCCTAATCATTCAGATTTTGCCTGAAGAAAGGTGTCCAAACAATACTTCCACTCTGCACCTGCAAATAGTCTGAAACCAGAGCATCTTTGTCCGCTGCTACTTCAAAGAGGGTAGGGTAAGAGACCCTCAAGGGTCTATTATCACACCATAAGTCTTTCCAGAAAAGAACTCGCCTCCCATTCCCAACCCTAAATATAAATCCATTTGAGAATGGACCATAAGTTTTCCCAATCCCTTTCCAGACAGAGCATCCATAGGATTGGTTTAGCTCACCCAGGACCCAACCAAAAATACCATACTTGGCTGCTAGCACCCTTCTCCACAAACCACCTTGATTCTCCCCAATTCTCCAAAACCACTTCCCCAGTAAAGCAGAATTGAGATCCTTTATTCTTCTCACACCCAGGCCCCCCTGAGATTTGGATTTGCAGCTTGGACTAGCCAACCAGCATGATTTTTTTCTTCTCATCCCGCCTTCCTTTCCACAGAAACTCCCACATCTTCCTCTCTAAAGACTTAGCCATCCCACTAGGAATTGGATATAAAGAGAGCAAATACAAGGGGAGGGAAGATAGAACACTTTTCAGCAGAGTTAATTTACCTCCATAAGATAAGTACTTGGACTTCCAAGAAGCCAAACGCTTGTCTAATCTCTCCACAATGGGCTCCCATATTGATTTGGAATTGCACCTAGCGCCTAGAGGCATCCCCAGATATTTCAAAGGAAGTTTACCTCTTTTACATCCCCACTCCTCCGCCCACCTCTCTATTTCTGGCACATCTCCCACTGCAACCAGTTCAGTTTTATGAGTGTCATCTGCAAACTGCAACAAAGAAACCTCCACCCTTTCAGCTCCCACCTGAAAACCTTCTATGAAACCCCCTGCCGTGGCCCTTTTTCTACTAGCACTCCATCTACCATGAGTCTACCCTCCTCAAAAGCACCTTGAGTTTCTGAGATTAGGGTCCCCATCACTAGTTTGAGCCTCTTGGAAAGAACCTTGGAAATTAATTTGTATATACTACCAACCAGACTAATTGGTCTGAAGTCTCCCACTTCCTCTGCCCCTTTTTTCTTTGGGATTAGAGTTATAAAAAGTAGAAATTAAACTCCTTTCCAGAGCTGCTGAGTCATGGAACTCCTTCAACACCCTTAAAACATCATTCTTTAGAAAACCCCAACAGTGTTTGTAGAAAGCCATGGTTAACCCATCCAGACCCAGAGCCTTATTGTGTCCATTGCAGAGAATTTTGAGAACGATCAAGGTAGAATAGTATGGTGTCCAAAATTTAGGAGATCTCTCTTTGATTGGAAAATTCAAGAGTGTGGATTTTCTGGCAAAACTCCAATCAACCGAAACTCAAGTGGAAAGGAAAGATTCAAGATGGTGGAAGGAATTTAGAAATAACCTATTATCAGTCAAATCTTTCTACAAGAACTCGTCAAGGTCAAATGGAGAAAGTCCAAAATCGAAAGGCATCTGGGGAAACGTTATCCCCCCAAGGGTGGAAGCTTTTGCTTGGCAAGTGGCATTGGATAGCAATTTAACATTAAACCATCTTCAAAACAAAGGTTTTCACCTAGCTAGCAGATGCTATCTTTGTGAGAATGCAGAGGAGAATGTCTATCATTTGCTTGTTGAGTGCCTTTCCTCCAGGTTCATTTGGGGCTTCTTCTTTGGGCTCTTCAAGTCTGGCGGGTGGTCTTCAATTCTGTGGAGGAGATTTTCTCCAAGTAGCCAAAGGTAAAGGGAAATGTCAAAGCAAAGATCACCTGGAGTTGCATTCCTTTTGCTGTTTGCTGGGAACTTTAGAAAGAAAGAAATAGAAGAATATTTGAAGAGAAGGCTCGAACAAAGGACCATATCACATTACTATGCAGCAAAAGAATTATGGGCTGGGTTCTCATTCTCCCAGAGTTTGAAGGAATCTCAAAAGAAGACCTTGGTTCTAGTTTTTGGAACATTCTGGAATTGGCTTAAAGTTTACCTTTTGTTTGGTTTATGTATTTCTCCTTTTTTTCTTTTCAATGTCTCCCTTATGTTTGTTCCACTCTCCTTTATAGCTTTGTTTTCTAGTGATATCTCATCACTATCAGATGTACTTCTTTCTATTATTAATAAATTTTCTTTTTATTTATTACCAAAAAAAGAAATTAGATGAGGCCCATTATGGGGTATCATATAGATAATTCCCTTAATTACATTCTTAAAATCAAGAAAGAGAAAACTCTTCAATTYTAAATTAAAAGAAATAAAACAAAAAATAAATTAAAATCATTTCGTAAGAATCTTGATCTAATACTAAATTAAAAGAAATATCTCTCAAAATTTTGAAAGACAAAAGGGAAACAGAAATCCTAGTAAACAAATACAATGCACTTGATTCTTAAATACGATAATCAGTTCTATTACTTAGGCCACGTTCGCATCTCAGTAAATGCACTTATCCGGGCAAGTGTTTCTTGGGAAACACTTATCCGGATAAGAGAAATTACCAGTGTTCTTTTATTCCCCAAGTGAAGGTGTACAATGACCAATTTATCCAAAAATGTGATGCTATTGAAGGGACAATATTGTCCCATCACATATTAGCAATTTTCAGTGCGCATGGATAAGTAATTTACTGAAGTCTAAGGAGAGTATTACTTCCCCAGGTAAATGAGCCGCATGGGAATCATTCTTTTCCATGGGACCCACTAATACTAGAAAACAAATGCAGGTTTTTTTCGTGGGACCTACCAACTTACCCGCCCCCACTTCCCAGAAAACAAACTAGGCCTTAATGGAGCTCTAGGCCTATCTGAAACTTTTTTCTTGGCAAGCTCTATGTGAAACTTTGATACATGGGAGAGGAAGAATCCAATTTTTGCAATCAGACCTGTTCAATTAGCTGATTGTAGGCAATCTCTTCCTTGAAACTTCTGTAATTAACATTGTCAAATTTGAACTAAGAATATAAGTGATCTTAACTTCCTGTTTTAGAAATAAAGGGGGCTGCTATCAGCCCTCATGAACTACATTTTAAACTTGAGTTTTTGAATACTGTAATCAGCCAGGTTGATTACAAGGCTGTATGCAGCTTTTTCTCTCTTTAATTATGTTATTTCTCAACTATGTAGAGGAATAGAAAGAAACTTTCTTAAGCACATTCTCAATCACATAACCCTAAACCTTAGAACCAACCTAAGAAAAAAATGGTTATGCTTCAGTTTCCTAACACTGGATCATACCAGTCTTGCATTACATAAAGTCAATAATGCAACAAATACAACCTTGCTATGATGAAACTACAATAACAATATGCAGAAACATGCATTTCTTAAAACATGTTCCTATCCATGACAATATGCATGTCATTGAGAACATATATCAAATCCTTCCAAAGAAATCGATTCAGGAATAGTTTAGTACGGGACAATAAGATACAAAACCTGGAACAGTAGCACGAGCTCGCAGTTCCTTGGATAGTGCAGCTACTTGATCTTTGCTTGGTACCTAGATACAAAAGGTACATGCTTAATCCTAATTAACAGTGAGAAATGAAAATGCAGCAACCATCCAAAATTAACAAAAAGAAAATCCAAAAGTACAATGTTAACTTTCATCTGCCCCTCCAATACTACAATGTCAACTTTTACAAAAATTAGCAACTTCACTAAGATTACTTAAACTAATAGTAACCTGACTCAAGCCAATATTGGTCCCAGCTACACAGGTCATCTTTTTATCAGCAATGTCAAATTTTTATTATAAAAGAATAAAAGAATGATGTACAAACAGTTTTTACCTGGCATCCCTGAAGCTGGCCTAGCCCCTGCTAGCCACCTCATTCATTTATTTCTATTACAGCTAATCATGGGGGATCTTCCCCCAGTACAGTGTGTTTTCATTTGCCCCTTATCTTGCTAATCTATCTTCCGTTCCATACCTTGGGATCCATCTATAACATTTTTTCTGATTTCTGCAGCAAATCAGCTAAAGATAACAGAAACTGTGTGTTGCAATTCCACTTTATCAAGAGTCATATGCATTATTAAATTGTGAGCCATTGAGCCCTCGAATAATTTGCATTACCTATTGTGCTGCCCCTTACCCTTCCGGATCCTTCAATTTGCCTAAGATCACTTCTTACTGCTGCAGTGGGTGCTATGCACATGTCTAAAACACTTTATTGTAGTTTGTATCATGTTATCACTTATTGGGGCTATACCTAAATTCCAATGAATAGGCTCATTTCTAATCCCATTCTTTCCGGTTTTGCCACTCATCCATTTCATTATTGTATCCCTGCCACACTCATTTTCCAACATCCCAAAACTTTGTCTCATATAACATAGCAAGCCTTATAGACAAATTATAAAATTTTCTTTTTACAAGATTGATACCAATCAACTACACAACACTCTCAATGCACCCCTCCATTTCATCCACCCCACTAAAATTTGATGGGCAACATCTTCCTCAACCACACTCTTGCTATCAATTATCAAACTAATGTAATGGAAGTCATCATTTTGAAATAACTCTTGGTCTCCAATCCTAATTGTACCCTAATGACCACTCATGTCAGTGCTAAATTTACATTGCATATACTCTGTCTTTGTCCAACACTCCCTTTTTTTTTTTTGATAATTGAAATGATTTTATAAATCAGCAATAAAATAGTACAAAGTCCTCATGGAAAGGTACGAGTTGCAACCTCTCCAGGCTAGTTAAGTACAAATTTCCGAATTAATAATAACTTACATAGAAGCACAAAAAAGATCTTCCCTATATACCCCCTATTTGGCTAGAGCATCAGCTAAAGAATTAGCAGACCTACTAACCCATTTTACCTCCACTCTCATATTGCTGGTTAACAACTTTACTTTTTTTATG